GGTCCGGAATGGATCCCCCACAGATACCAAGGGCCTATCAGAAACCAGGTTTAAGAATGTAGTACTAGTTTTTAAGAAACAACTGTGCTGCTTGTAATAAATATTATCTTGGTATGTGATTGTTAGCAGGTGTTCACTTTATCTTATTCTCTGGTAGCTATATAACTTATGTAAACTAAAGGATTGTCAACTGATTAAGGTGTTTTGATTTCAGTTAGTCTGACATTTAACAGGGCAGCTGAATCAGTGTAAATATTTATATATTGCAAAATTGCAGCGAATGTACTGTTTGAAGGTATTGCGCTGGATCTTAGAACCATAATTTTCTAGTTAAACAAACAAAACTGTATTCTGGGAGAACAAATATCATTTAAATATTATGAATATATTTAAATGATAAAGTTTTGAAAAATAATAATAGAATAGATAGTAGATGGCTTAAAATAAGCTGTTCACATTGCATTTGCTGTGTAGAATGCCAGATATAAAATATTATGGGGAGAAAATTCTGTACCCACTTACTTGGTGGAAGTAAATGCTATGAAACTCCTTGGTACTTGTATATCAGTTAGCATAATATAACTGTGCTGTGAAGCTGATTTTAATTGGATACCAATTTGTTAATAAAGAATCACAAATTTTACTGGTTGAGATCAAGCTAGAGAGCCCAGGAATGTAACACTCTGTTACCTACTGTGAAAAATTTCACAGGACTTTGAGGAGAAAATTGCTTGTTTGCTCAGAATTTGATACCATATTTATCACAGAGTATGGAGAGTTGTCCAGTGCTCCATCTGGTCAGAATTCATGAGGGGATCAATTTCAGTTATTGTGGCCGAATATCATTCCATTCCACCATATATAAGCTTGATGTTTGCCCATATCTACTGAATATCTAGTAGAGTGGTGTTTGGATCTAGGGAGTGATAAATACTTCATTCTGTTGAGTGGACTACCTACTGCCTTAAAAGAATCTGTATTGTACCTTTCCTGAAGTCAATCTCCCTGGATGTAGAGGTATATGAAAAACTATGTCCTTGTTGCTAATTATCCCCTTCTGGGTAAGATGCTTGAGTATGTGGGAGCTGGACAACTTTATGTTATTGGAGGACACAGATTTCAGTCTGGTTTCATGGTACTGAAATAGCCTAGATTGCTCAGATATCCCACTCCAGGGGCAGGTGTGAGAGTGTGACCCTGTTGATCTCTCCTGTTTGCAAAAGCAAAGCAACCATAGAGATAAGTATCTCAAAAGTGTGTGGGGGGGGAAGGATGTTTGCAAAAGCAAAGTTTAATTTGGGGAATTATAGAAAAGTTTATCCATCAAGTTATCAGGGTTAACCAGTGTTCTTTTCAAGGTTGCTCTTTAGCTATCTCATTTGTCTTTAAATTATTTATCTGGGATC